ACATTGGCTGGAGATATTAATAAACAGTGCTGGTAAGTTTGGGTCCAGCAGTCAGCAACGCTGTGACCTTTGAGTTGACTTGACCTCCCTTGCTCTCCCCACCCACACTTCTCAAGCAGAGGCCTGAAAAGCTGGCTTTCTCGTAATCTGCTTTGACACTCACTCAGGGAATAGCACTGCTGGTAAGAGGGAAACACCAGAGACAGCAGGTGGGGAGGCAGACACGCGTCAAAGCAGGAGACAACAGTAGCACTGCACTGTGCCCGCTTCTGGCTACACGGGGCCTTCCCACGGGCTGGGCTTTCCAGGGACATGCTATGACCTAGATCGCAGGGGCACACAGGCAGACCCCCGACTCAGCAGCAGGGATTCCTGCTCAGGGACCGGCCCTGGCCGACCTCCTACTCTCCCTCCTCCCATGGGGCAGGGAGGCACGTAACCTGGAGCCCTCCATCCCCTTTATATTTTTTATTGTTTATTTTTATGGAAAGCACAGAGACAGAGGCAGATCCCCCATCTGCTGGTTCACTCCCCAGATGCCCACAACAACCAGGGCTGGGCCAGGCTGAAGCCAGGAGCCAGGAACTCAAAATGCAGTCTCCTATGTGGGTGGCAGGGACCTAACTACTTGAGCCATCACCTGCTACCCCCAGAAGCCCGAATGGATAGCAGAGCCCGGATTTGAACCAAGCACTCCGATAAGGGAGAGAGGTGCTCCCAAGTGGTGGCTTCACTGCTGTGCCAAGTATCTGCCCCCCTCTGTCTGCTTTAAGCTCACGCTCCGTATCACCCAGGGTGCTGGAATCCCCCGATGCTGAGCAGGCTTCCAGCAGTGCCACCCTCTTCCCCAGATACTTCTCCCCCAGGGTAGACCAGATCAGTGGCATACGCACGCCTGGACCCAAGGTCCCCAAGAGATGGCCATCCGTGGGGGTGGAGAGTAGATGGGGCTTCATATTTTCTTTTTTGACAGGCAGAGTGGACAGTGAGAGAGAGAGAGAGAGAGAGAGAGAGAGAGAGACAGAGAGAAAGGTCTTCCTTTTGCCGTTGGTTCACCTTCCAGTGGCCGCCGCGGCCAGCGCACCACACTGATCCGAAGCCAGGAGCCAGGTGCTTCTCCTGGTCTCCCATGGGGTGCAAGGCCCAAGCACTTGGGCCATCCTCCACTGCACTCCCGGGCCACAGCAGAGAGCTGGCCTGGAAGAGGGGCAACCGGGACAGAATCTGGCACCCCGACCGGGACTAGAACCCGGTGTGCTGGCGCCGCAAAGCGGAGGATTAGCCTAGTGAGCCGTGGCACTGGCTGGGGCTTGATCTTGTAGACTGCTGTGTCCACCAACATGAACCTGAGGCCACTGTGGCACGGGGACAGCCCGAGGGTGAGGGGATGGGATGCGAGCAGGTGCCCTCTGAGGGCAATTTCTTGCTACTGCCCTGCGCCAGTGCAAACTCCCGAGCAGCCCAAGAATTCTAAATTCAAGCGCAGCCTCTCAAGTTGGGATGACTCTGTCTGTGTTGAGGGAGGATGAGGGAATGTATTTTGTTAAGGATTTGTGAGCTTAAATAATCAGACGCAAGGCATTGGTCTCTGTTTGCACCCTTGCCTCAGGCCCTACAAAGGTTGCAGGCAGATCTGGCCCACCAACATATTTCACTTGGTCTGCAGAGTATTTTAGAAGTTGGGAGAGCTCACTTAGATATTCTGAGTTTTAGCTTTCCACAGGGCAGCCAGCGAGAGAACCGAAGGGCAGTTGCGTACTCCTTAGCTTTCCACACTCTCCACCACTCCCAATTGTCTTATATCCAGTGGGTCGCACACATGGACAGTGCCTGCCTGGAGCTGGCGGCATCTGAGTGTGAGTCAGCTGGTCTACCAGCCTGGGGCAGCCACACTTGTCATGAGTGGGAGCCAGGGATGCAGACATAGCCAAGGTCAAACTCCAGAAAGGCTCGTCTCCATTCGTGGCTGCTGCTCCTATATCCTTCCGTGGAGGTGAAGCCGGCGGTGGCGCTTGCCCCGGGCTCGGCCACCCACTGCCTCTACCAGGCTCATCAAAAAGGAGAAGTGGAACTTCCTGAGGTCATTAGAAAGTGGAGACTGAAAGGGGAAGAGAAGTCCCCGCCAAGAGATGGAGACTGGGGCACGTGAGCACTGCGTTTCTCGTTCTGGCCGTGAACCTTGTGCCGGGAGATGCCCGCTCGGGGTCATGTGCCTTCTGCGGGGGTTTCTGGGGGGGAATCACAGCGCAAGAGCAGGGGTGGGGGAGAGAGCTCCCACTGGAAGGAAGCCTGCCTATGAGAGGCCAGGCCCCGGCGGAGCGAGCTGCAGAGAAAGCCAGAGCTAAAAGTCCGTGTCCAACTGTGCAGGGGAGGGGCCCCTGTTCAGCAGGTGCGCTACCTGGAGTGGCCACGGCTTCTTCATTCTGCCCGGTCGCAGAGGGAGGGGAAAGAGCTGGCAGAGCCCCAGCTTCCAACCCCAGGTCCAGAGGGAACGCATGAGAGAGGCCTCCGCATTCAGGCCCGCATGGGATCCCCGCCCCGGGAGAGCCATGCGCTTTGCTCAGTGTTGTTGGGAAACCAAGGTAAACGTGCCAGGTTCTGCACTGGCGGTGTCACAGGTCACATGACAGCCGTCAAAAGATCCTAACTGGCAATTGGCTTGATTCTACGGTTCTAGAAGCAGGCAACACTTTCCTATATGATAGGAGGAGAGTTCCTGTCGGCTGAGCAGAAGAGGTGGGGTTTATAGGCAGAGGAGGCCTGAGAAAAGCAGAGGCAATGAACAAAAAGTGGATTTGCCACAGCAGGTGTTTGCCACAGCAGTGCAAAGGCCACTTGCGGTGCCGCATCCCATATCCAAGTGCGTGGGTTCAAGTCCCAGCCCTGCTCCCGATGCCAGCTACATGGTAATGTACGTCTTGGGAGGCAGCAGGTGACTCAAGGACTTGGGTCCTTGCCACCCATATGGGAAACCTGGATGGAGTTCCAGTGGCTCCAACCTGGCACAGCCCCCAGCTGTTGCAGGCATCGGGGGAGTGAATCTCTGTCTGAGTGTCTCTCTCCGTGTTTCAAATAAGTTTCATTAGTTAATTAATTTTTAAAAATAGACTGGTCATTTCAAGGGGACTTTCCTAGTAAGATGGAGACAGGGAGACTGAAGAATAGAAAAATAGCTGATGGGTTGACAACAGGTTACTTGAGGTTACTTCTTGTACAGATTAGACTTTATCACATGCCTGTTGAAACGGGCCTGTTTGGAAAGTAGGCAGCTGTCTCCCTCCTCAAGTATTCCCAGGCCAGGCAACAGGGAACCGCAGAGGGGGGTGTGGGTGGGGGGCGGAATCCATTTTGGTTTTTAGCCTGCTCTGTCGGGGCCCAGTGCAGGAGCCTTGTCCAAGGTGAAGGCGTCTAGTGCCTTTAATAGAGGCCCTTCTGGGCTGTGCCCCCAGCTCTGAGTCGTGGGACTCAGCCCAGCGGTCATGTCTGGGGTATCCCTGGGCAACAGCTTGCCAATGGGAGCCCACCGGATTGCAGTGTGCATGTAGAGCTTTGTATTAGGCTCCTACTGTATACGGGCAGCAGGGAGGTGAGGAAATGCATGCTGGGACTGCCTTCCCAGCCCTCCGTGGAGTGATGCTGGCATCATGCCCGAGGGGTAGGCAGACACAGGCAGCTACAGCCTAGGGATGCAGGCTGTCCTCTGCCTGTCAGCCAGGGTGGAGCAGGCGCTGACCCAGGGGGACGGACTGCTCTTCCAGTCCCTGCCCTCCCACAGTGGCCACCCGCAGGGTGGCAGTGGACAGCAGCTGTGGCTCTCTTCCTGAATAGCTGAGAATGAGGCTGGGGGCGGGGGGCTGCATCAGACCCCTGGAACGGCAACCCCTGTGGCTTTGGTGGCCAGCAGGCTCAGCAGGGGCTGTGTTCTGGCAGGCCTCCCTTACAGCCTGGGCTCATGTGGCTGTGGCCACTCCTCGGAGTGTGGTGAGCAAGGGCTGCAGGCCAGCAGGCATGCGGCCTGGGGCTCTCAGGGTGGGCCAGAGCAGGGTAAATGTGGCATGCTGCCTGAAGACCACCTCCCCCCACCCCCAGCCTGCCTGGGCAGCCGGTGGAGACTCGTGGAGACAGGCAGTCATGGGCTCTGCATTGCTGCTCTCTATGCAAGGGGGTCTGGCAGGGGGGTCTCTGCATTCAACCGCGTTCGGCCCCCTGAGAGTATCAGGGAAACACTGCCCTCCTGTTGCTGAGAGAGCTGGCAAGGGGCCAGCTCTGTGACACAGCGGGTTAAGCCACCACTTGACCTTGGCACCCCTGGCGCTGATTCGAGGCCTGGCTGCTCCACTTCTGATCCAGCTTCCTGCTAATGCACCTGGAAAAGCAGAGGAAGATGGCCCAAGTATTTGAGCCTCTGCCACCCATGTGGGAGACCAGGATGAAGTTCCGGGTTGCTGGCTTCAGCCTGGCCCAGCGCCGACTGTTGCAGGCATTAGGGGAGTGAATTGATGGATGAAGAATCTCTCTCTCTCTCTCTCTCTCTCTCTCTCTCTCTGCCTTTTAAGTAAATCAGTACATTTAAAAATGCAGCTGGTGGGGAGCCTGGGGCATCCTTGAGACTTGGCGGTGCGGGTGCATCTGCGAGCAGGAGGCGACAGGACCCACCTGGCCTCCATCTCTCTGGGTGACATCCTGCAGGGGTCCTTCTGCCCGGATGGAGGGCCAAAGGAGGGAGCACAGGAGGCAGGGAGGAACAGAGCGGGGAGGGATCATGTTGAGGGGACTGGGGCAAGAAGATTTCAAAAGATGCCTAGAAACAGATGGAAGATGCTTTGGGAAAAAAAAAAAATCAGGATCCCAAGCTGATCAACAAACCCCAAACAGAAGCGCTGCTGGCAGAGGCTCCCCAGCTTTTGGGGGGTGCTTGAGGTCAAGACCACCCCCAGTGAGTTCACCCCCAGTGAATTTCAAGGGACAAGCTAAGAGGGACACGGTCCTGCCAGGCTTGCTTCTTTTCAGACGTTTATTTAGAAAAACCACCCTGCCCAGCCCTCCTCCCTCTGTGCCGTGGGATTTGGGCTGCAAGCTCCATTCTCCTCGGGCTCGGCCTCCCACCTCCACGGTCCAGCCCAAGCTGACAGCTGCCCCAAGGCTGGGAGGCCTCGTGCCCCTCGGGCCGCCACAGCCCTCTTCTGTTCCGTCCTTGCCTCCGGCTCTCCAGGTGCAGGGAGTGCTGGGAGGGGCAAGGCAGCGAGGCCACAGTCTGTGTGCCCTTCCAGGCCTGGCGGGCCAGTGGGGGACGGGGCTGTGCTGGCTCCTGGTGCCGACGCTCAGGGCTGGAAGCGCGGGGAGCTGACGTGAGGCTGGTGGAAGGCGTGGGCACTGTACACCACCTCGGGGGGCGAGGGCGCGCTGGTGGCCAGCACGGAGCACAGGGGCTCGTGACTGCTCAGCACCGACGTGAAGTACTTCATCTCCTCCGTGAGCTGTTTGATCTCCTTGCGTAGAGCCGCGTTCTGTTTCTCCAGGTCCTCGCTCTCCTGCAAAGGCGACAGATGCACGTGGGTGTGAGTGTCAGGCAGGCAGCGAGGCCGTGGGACACGGAGGGCTGCAGGAGACTGGGACGGGCGTACTGCTGGCATAGCCGTGGAGAAGTACATGGGAGAATTTTCCCGCACGTGTGTGCGTGGGTAGGTTTCAGGACGCCCACGCATGTGTGCGCATGCCCAGACCTGGTTATGAGGTTGAACCCTATGAGGCTGCTGGTATTTATCTGGCTCTGACCTCTGAAAACAGCTGTTTCATGTGTGTTCCACCTGTCTTAGTCTGTTTTTTGGTTGTGGTCACCAACAGCCGAGGCTGGCTCGCTTTTCAAGAAAGAGGTTCCCCAAGTCCAAGTGCACGGCTTGGCTTTTGGTGCGGACCTCGTGCTGCTGCCCGTGAGGCAGAAAGGCACCAGAGCAAGCGGGCTGTGCAAAGAGGCAGGCGTCAGGCCTGCTCTGCAGCTCAGCGACCTGACCACCGCGTCAAGTCCCCGGAGCCCTGCCGGCCGGGAGTCCGCGTGAGCCGCCATCGGGACAAAACAAAGCACTTGCGTGTGCGAGTCAGCACGGAGGCGCCTGCGCGGATGTGCTCGTTTGTGTGTGTGTGTGTGTGTGCGCGCGCGCGCGCACCAGGGTCTCTGTGGGCGCGTCTGCAGGTGAGCGTTGGCCGCGGGGGAGCCCAGCAGCAGGCCAGTGCCTGAGCCCCTGGAAGGCGTCCTCCGAGCGCCCCCAGTGTTGGCCCTCAGCATTACAAGGTTAATTGTCTCCTTGGCCCAAGTCTTCCTAAATATTCCAGGGTCAGTGTTTGCCATGACCTTCTGCCCAGCCAAGCCACCCCCCCTCCTTATTCTTGGATGATTTGTTCCAGAACATTCTGAAGATGTCTGAAATCTTGGTTACTACCAACCCCAATGAATCCCCTGTCATTTATTTCCTATACATGTCTACGATAAGCTTAATTTACAAATCAGACAAGTAGAAAATGAATAACAATCACTGGTAATAAAACAAAACAACTGTAACAATACACTGCAATAGAAGTTATTGAAAACTTTTGCCGGTGACGCGGCTCAATAGGCTAATCCTCCGCCTGTGGCGCCGGCACACCGGGTTCTAGTCCCGGTCAGGGTGCCGGATTCTGTCCCGGCTGCTCCTCTTCCAGGCCAGCTCTCTGCTGTGGCCAGGGAGTGCAGTGGAGGATGGCCCAAGTGCTTGGGCTCTGCACCCCATGGGAGACCAGGAGAAGCACCTGGCTCTTGCCATTGGATCAGCGCGGTGCACCGGCAGTTAGCGGCCACTGGGGGTGAACCAACGGAAAAGGAAGACCTTTCTCTCTGTGTCTCTCTCTCTCACTGTCCACTCTGCCTGTCAAAAGGGAAAAAAGAAAACTTGTGAACTGTTTATTTTCTGAATTTTCCATTGAATATTTTCGGACCGCGGGTAACTGAAACCACAGAAAAAAAATGGCGGCTAAGGGGGCACTCCCGTACTCTGGGTGTGTCCCAAGCCTGTGTGCAACCTTTTCCTTTGTTGCTTGGGAGACAACAGGTGTGTTCCCAACAGGAAAACTGAGGGAGGCAGTGCTGGCTCCCGGTCAGTCAGTTACACTGTGTGATGAGCAGTTACTGGGAAACAGAGGCACCTTTAGGGAGCCCAGGGGAACTGCAACCGTAAGGTCACGACCGTAAGGGTCACGTATCCTGGCTCAAGTAGACCTTCTCTGCTGACAATTGATGCCCACAGAGGAAGGGGAAAGAGCACTGGAGGTGCAAATAAATTGCTTGTCAATTCCAAAACCCAGCTGGTCCTTGGAGACCAAGTCTGGTTTTACATGGTTCAGATCTGCATTTTTAAAACGTGCCATTTCATCAGAATGAATAAAGTTGCTTGCTTAAAAATATTCACAAGTCCTTCCTAAAATCTAGAGATTTGAACTTGGTGGGCTCAGGGTTTGGGGCGATTTGGAAATCCGAGTTTTTAACAAGTGCCCTGGTCATTTCAAATCTTTGAGCAATTTTGAAAACACTGGTTAACTACAGTATTAAATTTCCTTTAGTTATTCAAGCCACTTACTGCCTATTTATCTCAAATGTTTGTTGACTAACTGATGACATCAGTTGCTGGTACAAAGAAGTTGACTAAAAAATAGGGTGGGTGGTGGGTAGATTCCAGATAACTTGACATTTGACATTTAAAGCCGGGCCTAAGGGCGTTTGGTCCAGCAGCTAAGATACTGGTTAAGATATCTACAGCCCATAGCTGAATACTGAATTCCATCCCATCCCATTCCATCCATTCCATCTCTCTCTCTCTCTCTCTCTCTCTCTCTTCCTCTCTCACGTCTCCTGTGTATCTGCTTCTCAAAATAAACAAATCAACTTTGCCCTAAATCACCTATCAGGAACCTGAGCTGTAGGCTAATGAGAGCTGGATAGGATTGGTCAGTTCCACTGCCAGTCATCCCAACCCCTACACTCTGGGAAGGGAGTGCTTTGTAAAGTGGTGCAGAAGTTCTGACACGGACCGGACCAGAGCGTGCTCAGCCTCAGCCTGGCCTTTCCTGAGGATGGTTCTGAGCTGGAATTAAAAGGGACGCCCATCGCAAAAAGGGGGCTGGCGGTGGCGGGGTGGTACCTCGGCCCAGCCACTGCCCCTGCAGGCTGTGGCCGGCACGCTCACCTTGCTTGTGCTTGCTTCCTGGCATGTCCCAGGGTGAGGGCATTCCCCACCCCGCCCCGCCCCTTTACCGAAAGGTAAGATAAAGCTCCATGATGAGACGGGGCGGTGTGGGTAGCACGGGAACTGGGGGCCAGGAGTCCTGGCCCCTTCCTTCCTTGAGCCCTTCTTCTCGCCCCCTCTGAGAGTTTCCACTGGTGACACCATTTACTGTAAATTCTGTGCTCCGAAGAGCCTGGGCAAACCCCGAGCCAGAAGGGAGGGGCCGGGGTAGGCCGCTCTGACCTGCTCCCCGCCTTAGAGGCAGGCCCAGCTTTCGGGAAGTGACAGCGGCTCCTTCCTTGCTGAGCGCGCCGCCCGCAGAGCTCTCTGACCTTGTCTGCCTCGCTGCTCCCTGCCTTGCAAATCCCAGAGCTCTAGAAGTTGTGCAGAACCGCCGCCTGCTGCTGCCGCTGACAAGTCGACAAGAACTTGCCTTGACCCTGGGAAGAAACCCTGCTTCCTGCCAGGGGGGCCCCCAGAGAAAGCCGCGCGGCTGTCCCGGGTCGGGGTCAGGCGGTGTGCAGGCAGCCTGCGCTCGCAAGAGAAAGGAGTTGACTCCCCGTGCAGGAGGAAGTGGCTGAGCTTGGGCCTCATCCTTCTAGCTCCCGCCTGCTGTTGCTTAGGCCAATGTAGCCCTCCCTGGGGTGGTCTTGCGGAAGGGACCACAGCAAAAGTGGCGGGGGTGGGGGGAGCGGCTGTTTACCAGAGGCAAAACCGTCTCATCCCCAGCATCCCCCCAGGGACTGGGAACCTGGAGCTGAGAAGGATATCTCGGGGCGGGGGGGGGGGGGGGGGAGGGGTGAGCTTGCACCGAGTGTCCACGTGAAACAGTGCACACATTTGCTTTTTGGAACTCATTTAGGTCTCCGAGGCTTTTCACAATCACGCTTTGAGATGTTATATTATTCCCACTCTACAGAGGAGGCCAACTGAGACCCCAGGACAGACCTACTCCACCTACCCCTAGAAAGGACCTCAGGCTCCTGGCAGCAGCTGCTAGGAGAAAGTGCTTCACCATCTGCCTCGAGACACTGGTTTTCTAGAAATGCAGAAACTGCAGCATTGATCCAAAGACCCACAACCGAGGAAGAGAAGAGCGAGACTTGAGCCACGTGGTCCTTCCGTCAACACCCCCAGCGCCGACTTCTCCTGGGAGGCTCCAGACAGGAAGACAAAGGTCTCCAGGGAGCCCTAAGACGTCCTCTGTCACCCAACAGTCTCCCAAGAGAAAGCTGGGTCTTGATTTTGGTGGTCTCAACCCCAGGACGCTGAGTCAGCCACCCTGGCGGTCTGCCCCCTGCACCGCACGGGGAGGGAGTCACCTGCCAGGCTGCTCCGGAGGAGGCCATCCCAGGGCTGAACCAGAGCCAGGTCCTGGACACCGGACCCCCTGCCTCAGTGCTGGGTCCTCGTCCTGGCTAGGTAACCCTTGGTGACCCACTTTCCCGCCCGCCTTGAAAACAGGAAGACTGGACCAGAACACTGATGTGCCAGCTTAGCCACACACTGGGATCCCCACCCCCGGGGGGTGGGGGTGGCCTTTGACAACTACTCGGGCTTGATTCAGATTTAATAGCTCTGGGCTAGAGCCTGGCATTGGGTTGTTCAAGTCTTCCCAGGAGATCTAATGTGCAGCTAATATTGAAAACCACAGCATCAGAAAATCCCCGGTAATTCAGATTCCGAACTGACTGCCCTGAGGTTACAAAGTAGCGCCTCCGACCCCCTCTTTTTGGGAGGGTGTGGAGAGGGGAGCAGAGGGGGTGCAGACTCAGTTTATATGAGAAAGATTAGTAGAAACCAAATTTTTGAAAGTGTTGTCCCAGCTTGACTTCCAAATAACTAATGCACAGCGGATACTACCAAGGTGGCAATCACTCTTTGAAGTACTTTAGGGTTGCTCTCTAGTTTAATCGTGGCAGCGACCGTGTGGCTGGGTAGCATTATCCCCCCATACACAGAAGGAAGCCGGGAGGTGTGGAGGGTACATGTGCAAGTGGCACCAGGGCTGGGGTGGGGCGGGCTGGCTTCAGAGCCTGGGCCTTCCCTGCCACGTGGCCTTGGAAGCCCCTTTCGTCCTGACGGCGTTTGACAATGATCTCCTGCCCTATTGGCTTCCCAGTGTCATCTTCCATCTTTCCCCGTCTCATGCAAATGCCAGTCCTGTGTTCACAGTCCAGCCTCACCTGTGGGGTCACCTGGTGCCACCTTTATCCAAGCCATGAGCAGCGTGGGAGTGGCCGGGGCACAGGGAGGATTCTGGGAAATCCCCTGCTGGAGGGGCTGAGGGGGGGCACTTAAAGAGCTCCTGAACGACGGGGAATCCCCAGGCGGTTCCCTTACCCCGGGGAGCCAACTGGGACAAGACCAAGGCCAGGCGGGCATTTGCTGGCAGGGCTCGGGCCCAAGGCTCTGCAGGGACTCTCCAAGCATGCAGAGCAGGGCTCAGGCCTCCCCCTGCCAGCCCTGGGTTAGTGCCTGGACCTTCTCCTTGCATTGTCTCATCCCAGATTCCAGAAGGCTGAGAACAATCCCTGTGTCTTTCCTGCCTGACAGAACGTGCAGTCGTCACAGGGAGCTCCCCTTTCACACTGCAACAAGAGCGTGCGCTCTGATGCGTGTGCCCCGTGCCCGGCCCTTCAGTGTCTCTCCGTTGTCATTCCCTAAACAGCAAATGTAGGCCGGAGGCGGTGCCCACCATCCCTGGAGAAGGCTTAGGACTGAGAGGTAGGACACTGTTCAAGCAGGGGGGAGATCCGTGCCTACAGCTGCCACCATTCCTTAAGGAAATTAGCCCTGGCCTCTGTCTGGGAGGGAAGAAGAGAAATCACCAACCCCAGAATCAGACGTGCACCGACTGTCTTTGCACCAATTGAGGCGCGTGTCTGATTCTGGAGGGGTCTTCACTTTTGTGCCTTTAGGGCCAGAAGTGCCTTTGTCATCGATGGATGTTTAGGCTGACACCTGTTCCTTGGCTTTCAGTGACTCCGAGTAGGCTCACTTGGCAATCACCCCAAAGTCCTTCTCCCTTGCCCCCATCTACAGAGCCCGGAGAATCAGTAAGTAACCCAGCTTCCCCTGCAGCTAGGCCACCCTGCCTCAGCGGAGATGGGCGCCTGGAGCTTCAGCAGCCGTCTTGCAGCCTTGAGGATGGAGGAAGCCACACCCTGAGGATGGTGTGCAGACGGCAGCTGGGGGTTCCAGCCCTGCTCCGTGCTCTTCTGCACTTCTTGCTTTGCAAGAGAACTAAACCATGACTTGGTGGCACCTCCAAGTCATGGCTTGTCCGTTACTGTAGCGGCATGCAATCCCGACCGGCACCCCAGGTTCGAAAGGTCGCCACTGGCAAGCCCAATTCTGAAAAGCAAGCGACCAACAACCAAACGACCGATAATTGCCATCACAACGAACTGCTTTGTTTTAAGTCGCCGGGGAGCTGGGACAGAGCGTTTGGGGATGGACCCACAGAATCGCTCCAGACTCACTGCCTGCCTTCTGCTCCATGAGTCTGCTGGGTTTCAAACCCACTCACTGCTCCTGGTTCTCAACCCTGGCTGCCTACTACAGCCACCTGGAGAGTTTTAAGCAGCCGCAATCCCTGGACTTCACCCCCCAGAGATTCCTGTATCCTTGTTCTGGGGTGTGTCACAGGCATCAAGGTTTTAAAAATATTTCCCAGCGGGGCTTAATGGGCAACCAAGTTGGGAATTGTGTTCATAGTGGATTCTTCTTCCATACAATATAAATATATAGCATTTAATTGTATTAGATGCATTTTGCGTGTTTATATTATTTAATGTGTTTTATAATGTATAGTATAAGAAACATAAAGAAATTGTAAAGTGTCCGGGAAACATTTCCCAGTTAAAATTTTTTTCTAAAAGTAACAAGCTCTTTAACTTTATTACGTGACTGCTATTAAATTTGCCAAAAACAATTTCAAGCAGCCTGGTCCAGTTCTCTCTTATGATGGGAAGGCAAGAAGTAGCAGAGCGATTGAAATCTCATTGATTCTAACTTTATCAGATTAGTTACCCCAAGATGTTGATCTTTATGAGGGCAGGGGCTGTTATTGTCTGCACTGTTTTGTCCGACATAGTAAGTGTTCAGTAAACTCACACTGCTTGCCTGACAGTGTGGAATCTGTTAAGAACTAGCCGAAATATGGCAGGCGCTCAATAAGCTAATCCTCCGTCTGTGGTGCCGGCACACCGGGTTCTAGTCCGGGTCTGGGCGCCGGATTCTGTCCCGGTGGCCCCTTTTCCCGGCCAGCTCTCTGCTGTGGCCTGGGAAGGCAGTGGAGGATGGTCCAAGTGCTTGGGCCCTGAACCCACATGGGAGACCAGGAGAGGCACCTGGCTCCTGGCTTCAGATCAGCGCAATGCACTGGCCACAGCGCACCAGCCGCAGCGGCCACTGGGGCATGAACCAACGGCAAAGGAAGATCTTTCTCTCTGTCTCTCTCTCTCTCACTGTCCACTCTGCCTGTCAAAGAAAAAAAAAAAAGAAAGAAAGAAAAAAGAAAAGAAAAGAAAAGAAAAGAAAAGAAAAGAAAAGAAAAGAACTGGCCAGAATCTGAAGAAACAGTCTACCAAGTAGATTTGTGATGTCCAAGAGACTTCCAAAGGGGGGTTTAACTCAAAGTTCAAGTTCTTCAGCGGCTTCTACTTTGCTACTCTGGGGCGGTTTCACATGAGTCGGAGAGATTCACTTTTCAAAAGCGCAAGGTCAGATCCCTGCTTAGCAACACTTTTGTTCCCTAAACTGTAGCTATGGTGTGGGAGTCGCCGAAGGACAGCACTTTCAGAAGAACTCTGCACGTAATTTCCCCAGCTCGGACTTGACCTTCCCCGTCCACACCAGTGCAAGAGACGGGCAGCTGTGAAGAGTCAGGCTAGGGGAATGGCTGGTGTTCTCCAAGCTTTCACACACAGCCAAGACATCTGACTGATGTATGGGAAAGAGCCTGCCTGGGCATTCAGTAAATGAACCACTGTAACACCCTCCCCTAGGTAAAACTAAAGAAACTCACAGTACTGCACTGTCCCACCTTTGCCATCGACAGTCCCCAGGGGGTGCTGTGGCTTCCCATTTTGTAATCAAAATTCAGGTTCAGATAAATCTCCAGGCTGGAATTTGAATTGGTTCCCGTCCCTGTCTCAGCTTGGCTCTTGCTCCCTGTAGCACACCTCCTCCTCACTGCCTCCGGCCCCACCAGGCATCTTCCCACCTGACCCTGTCTCCTCTGTAATCACGTTTGCCCCCAAGGCTGGGGCCCTGGGGACGCCGTCCCGGTCACTGCCCCCTGCTCATCCCTTGGTCACTCTCAACGGTGCACTGTTTCATTTACCTATTCACTTTCCGCTACGGCTTCCAACTGAATGAAAGGGCCAAGGAATCAGAAAACTGCTGTTTTCCCAGTGCCTCCAGCAAACCGCCCCTGGCCTGGAGGAGGCCGGGCGGCACCGGTTGAGGGGGTCTCTCCTGTGATGGCGCGGGCTCCAGGACTGGGAATGCGGCCTTTGCGCGTGTGATTCTGTGCCCGTGACTGATCAGGCATTTTCTCGTGCAGGAAATTGCTCTGGGGGCTGGGAATCCAGGCCCCCCATCCCTTCTGGATGAAGCTCTGGGCTTCATCCCTTCGCTGGAGCTCTCAGACGAGTCCCGGGTCCCTTCCCTTGGGTCCCCTGAGTCAGGGGTGACTGGATAGTCACACTTGTCCCAGTGCACATTGGTGTGGTCCTGGTGTGACAGTTTTCCAGTGCACTCCATCACTCCCCAGTGTTCCCAATACGAGAATAAATGGAAAGTTCTAGCAAACCCTGACCCCTAAATTCTGCCTCGATCGTGTCCTCTTTGTGTTCTCAATTTTCTCACCCTTCTGTCTAATCATCTCCATCTTGTTTTAAATTTTAAAAATACAGTATAACTGTATTAACCATATTTTAAATGCCCATGATCCTTGTCGGCTAACACCCATTCTCATTTGTACAGATTTAAAAATAAACAAACGTGCAAAGCTATTTTGACAAACCTCAACAAGAACACACGTACAATTTGTATTTTGCTTCCTGTGTCAACTTTGTCACACCCACCAGTACCTCATCAAATCAACGATCCGCAATTTACTTAACAAGGTCTTCTAGGGCTGGATATCGTCAAGAACGCTGGAATGAACAGCTCGATGTCTCCTGGGGTTTGTCTTTGCTCAGCTGCCATCCAGGGTAATTCCTTGCAGACAGACTAATGCAGCCGAGGGCACAGTCAGTCTTCCAGTCTGTGGCAAGCACAGCTGTAACGAGGTTGTGTGAGCCTTGGCAGCTCATGTCAAGAGCCTCGGGTGGTCACTGACGTCATTCATCAGTGTATTAATTGTTAAGTCAACAACAGGAGTCACTGTGCACTAACTCCCCATGCAGGACCTCTGTCCTCACTGAGCTGTATTATGAGAGTTAACTGTAAAACCTGTTCGCAAACAGTTTGTATGTGTGTGTGCGAATTGTTCTAATCTGTACTTACTATAGAGTTGGCCTTCTGTGTATAAGGTTAATTGAAAATGAATCTTGATGGAGGATGTGACTGCGAATGGGGGGGAGGGTGAAAATGGGGGTGGGAGGGCGGGTGTAGTGGGAAGAGTCACTATATTCCTAAAGTTATACTTCAATAATTTGTACTCCTTAAATAGAAGATTTCTTTGGGGAAAAAAATAATATCCCTGGGCTGGGTATTGGCGCAGCTGTTAAGACACTGCTTGAAAAGCCTGCATCCCATATGAAGACCTAGTTCCCGGCCCGGCTCTGCTTCCAGTTCCAGCTTCCTGCTGATGCACAGCCTGGGAGGCAGCAGGTGACGACTCAAGTCCTTGGGTCCCTGCCACCCACATGGGAGACCCGGACTGAGTTCCAGGTTCCTCTCTCCAGTCCAACCCAGCCCCATCTGTTGCCTACGTCTGGGGAGTCAACCAGCAGATGGAAATCTCTCTCTGTGTCTCCCAAATAAAATGAAAATAAATAAAATCGTTAAACAACAACAACAGAAGAAGGCCGTGTGAGATACATAATGGCATCAGCCCTGAGTGCACGCGTCACTTTTGTCTCAACTTCCCTGGCACTGCACTTAGCTGTCCTAATTTTAAATCGTTTATTTTTGCCAGCTGACTTATGAAGGTTTCTTCCTTTCGCTTTAATGTCATGGTCATCAATTACTAAGGAAGAACAAGTTCTACATGTGTCTCCTTAGCTTTGCTCTGCAGGGAACACTGGGCAAGTTGTGGAAATGCTACTGTTTGCCACAACTTGGCGTGTCCATGGTGGCGGTGGTGGGGTGTCCTGTTGGTGTCTGTGGGTAGAGTTTATATTTTATGCTGCACAGAGCAACCCTTCCCCCGACAACAAAGAACGATCAAACGCAAGACGTCAGTGGTGCCGAGGTTCAGAAACCCTGCCTTAGCATGTATCGTGTTCCTAATCAGAATAGAAAATTAGGTTATTCTCGTGTTGGTAGGAAAAGTGTTGCGTAAGTTTCTGTTCATAGCCTCTGCCCACTTATCTCCTGGAGTCTGGGTGTTTTTCTTTTCAAGGATGTGCTCTCCTTGATAGTCAATGGTCGCTTACTTCACCTGATGCAAGCATTTCCCCAATGTGTCCCTTTAGTTTTGCAATGCGACATACAAGCCTCTTTTACATAAAGGAGCGCTTGGATTTCAACGCCCTCTCTCTCTCTTGGTC